CACATACACACTCACACACATACACACTCACATACTCACTCACATACTCACAAGCACACACACTCACACACTCACACATACACACACTCATACACATACACATTCACACACGTACATATACTCACATCCTCACAAACACACACACAAAAAAAAACATATACTCACACACATGCACACACTCACATACATACACATATTCACAAACACACTCACACATACACATACTCACACACATACACATACAATCACACACACAAAAAAACATATACTCACACACATGCACACACTCACACACATAGACATATTCACAAACACACTCACACATATACACACATACTCACACCTCACACACACATACTCACAAACACACTCACACACACACATATACACACATACATACTCATACACACCGCCACCATTACCACCATCTAAAAGAAAAAAAAATCAAATGGAAATAGTATTTTTAAATCCTCTCTTTAGATAACTTGTAATCACATCCTGCTCCTGTACAGGAATCATATTTTTAATAGTAAAATCTGAGATCCGTTGAGTCATTATTTCAATGAAAGTTCCTAAGTGATAATAAACACCAATATAAAATAACAAAGCTTTCTTTCTTCCAGTTCCTGCTCTAGCTCAAAGGGGTTTGAATCTGGAAGCGCAGGGAATTCATCCAAAGGTAACAAAAACCTCGTTTTATTTCTACAGCAGAAAATCCCTTTACATCAATGGCTCTCACACATGGTAGCAAAATCTACAGTTAAGTTTTAAGTAAAGTACTCTGAACTGCAAATGTTCTCCAGACACCCCAAAATCTTATTTTAAACTCATAACACTCCCTCCCCAGTGTGTGGGATACAGTGCGAGGAGCCAAACAGTGGTGTCCTTCATCACATAGTCTTTTGGGGCAGAATACGGTCATTCACCTGTGTTTTCTTCTCTAGATGTATCTAAAACCACACTGGTAAAGACGGTGGTTGAAGAAATAGATCAGCGTGGAAAGGTCCTGTCCTCCAGGATCCACTCCATCGAGGAAAAGATGTCTAAGATGAGCAACGGCAAGGCTGAGCAGAGGGGTCCCTTCTAGCTCCCGCGCTAGGGGGATAGAGTAACTTGGGGGCGAAAAATCAGCACGGCAGCACTGTTCTAAATCTCAGGGAGAATGGAAACGCTTTCTTCTATTACAGATGAGTGACCTTAGACAAAATACCTGTTTGCTTAGTGACTTTCAAAGGATGCTGGGTGTTTGTGTCCAAATAAAATAATTGGTGGCAACACACTTCCGTTTGCTGGTGATTAATAATGAGATGTGATTTATTTCCCCCCCCCCCCGTAGGTAGGTAGACCTTTATGGAAAACGTCTTTATTGGATTTTACTCTAGTTTTCAACAACTGTCAATTCGATCACACGGTATTTAATATTAAGTATTCACTAGGCATAATTTTCAATCCCACCATGTCTGCATGAGGTAAACATGGGCGACAGTCAGAAGGTTCTCCTGCAACTGACGCATTCCACCACTAGATGGCGCGTGCATGGTGTTTTTGTTAGGATGTCTCAAACTATCTCAAGCTCCCACACAGACTTCCTGAGATAACATTCCCGCCTAAACTGAAAAAAATCTCTGAAAAGATCTACCGCAACCAAGCCCGTGTTGATGGCTTTTCCAGGACATATTTTTTTTTCCTTTCTTGTTTTGGCTTTTGTTTTACGGCCTTTGCTATTTAATATTCTAAGTAGGGAAAAAAATACACTTTAAGTTAGTGCATACTTTTACCACTTGTTTTTATGCCCAGCAATCCCAGTTTTAAATCAAAATACCACAATTATATCATCTGTATTTTGTAGTTTTTATATCACTTTGGTGCTGTTATTTGGTGTTGGGGTTTTTTGTTTTTTACTCTAGTTTTGTATTTCTAACTTTCTTTTCTTCTATCACTTCCAATGCATTTCAGGTGATTTTGAAGTGACAGAAAATGTCTTAATCTATTAGCAGGCACAAAATGCTTTCATTTTATTCAAGAATACATCAATTTCTACATTTTCTTCTTCGTGTGTATTAACATTTTGTGGGACTTGGCCTCACTTGGTTTCTTTATCTCGTTTCCCCCCTCCAGGCAATCATTCCTTATTTTCAAAAATAAGGTGCAATCCAAATGACTCTTCTAACTTCTCAGAGTTCTTTTTTCTCTTGTTTGGATACAGGATTCAAAATTGTTGGCTTTTGGGGCTGGAGATATAGCTCAGTGGGGTTTTGGGTTTTTTGTTTTGTTGTTTTGGGTGTTTAGGTTTGGTTTGGTTGTTGATTTCCCAAGACAGGGTTTCTCTGTGTAGCCCTGGCTGTCCTGGAACTCACTCTGCAGACTAGGCTGGCCTCAAACTCAGAGATCCACCTGCCTCTGCCTCCCAAGTGCTGGGATTAAAGGTGTGTGCCACAACTATCCAGCATGGCTCAGTGGTTCAGAGCACATACTGTTCTTTCAGAGGACCTGAGTTTGGTCCTCGCACCCATATGGGGGTGTTTACAACCAGCTGCAGGGAATCCAGTCCCCTCTTGTGGCTTCCAAGAGCATCTTCACTCAAACGGCAAATACTCTCACTGGTACACACGGATAAATACAATTAGAAAGAGAATAAACCTTTACAGCAAGCCTGTATAAAAACAGACACATAGAATAATGGAATACAACAAAGGCCCTAGAAGTGCACCTGCACAGCTGCAGCCACTTAACGGTTGGCAAAGGTGCCAACACCACGTGGGAGAAAGACAGCCTCGAGATGAACTGTGTGGAGAAACTATATAGCCCAAGGTAGAGCAAAAACTAGGTTCCTATGTCTCACACTGGGAAGGAATCAATTCAATAAAGCAAAGTTCTGAATGTCAGACCTAAAACCTTCAAATACCTAGGAAAAGCACCTTAAAATCTAAGCTTGGGAAAAGACTCTCTGATAAGGCTCCAACAGTTCTGGAAATAACTGGCAGATGAGACTCCCATTAAAATCAAAAGCTCCTGCATAACAGAGGGGAAAATCAGGGGAGGAAACACAGCCGACAGAACCAGAGAAAACAGAAAACCTTTGCCGGTCATACATCTGACGGGGGGATTAACATCTAGAATCTGTAAAGAACTCAGAAAAGATAACTGTCAGAAATCAAAGCAAATGCCAGGCATGGTGGTGTACATCTTTAATCTCAGCACTCAAGAGGCAAAGGAAGGCAGATCTCTATGAAATCCAAAGTCATTCTGGTTCATATAGCAAGTTCCAGGCAGCAAGAGCTGCAGAGTAAGACCCTATATATGAACAGAGAAAGAGAGAAAGAGAAAGAGAGAGAGAGAGAGAGAGAGAGAGAGAGAGAGAGAGAGAATGCATATAAATGCATATATATGTGTATACATACATACATACATACATACATACATAATACATGGATAGGGGACCCACTCAGTAAATGGGCGTGTAAGTTGAACAGACAATCCTCAAAAGAAGAAATACAAGTAGCAAAGAACAAGCATACAGATGAAAGGCGTTTGACATCAAAATTACATTCACGATTCCACATCATTCAGTCAGCATGGTTTTCACCAAGAAAACAGGCAGCAATAACACTGCAGGGCCCTGGTGTAGGTGGGGTGTAAGCTAGTGTGAGGAGACAGGATCAGCATGAAGAGTCTTCCAAACACTGCAAATAGAACCAGAGGAGTCAACATAGCACAGAGATATTGGCACATCCATGTCTGGTAAGGCACTGTTCTCAAGAAGCAAGACAAGCAATCCATATGAACATCAACAGATGGATGGTGTATTAGTCACGTTTTTATTGGTGTGATAAAACACTATGACCAAGGCACCTTACAGAAGAGAGAGTTTATTTGGAATTTACAATTTTAGGAGGATGAGTCCAAGACCATCATGGCGGGAAGCACGGCAGCAGGCAGGCAGGTAGGCAGGCATGGCTCTAAAGCAGTAGCTGAGAGCACACTTCTCTCTATCCACAAACAGGAAGCATAAAGGATAATGAATGGGGGGGGGGAGTCTTCTGAAAACTCAAAGACTGCCCCCAGTGACACACTTCCTTCAGCAAAGCCATGACTCCTGATTCCTTTCAAACAGTCACCATCTGGGGATCAAGTACTCAAATGCCCAAGACTTACAGGGAACATGTCATTCAAACCAACGCAGCTGACTAAAGAAAACATGATTCTGGAGTATTGTTCATCCATAAAGAGAAACATGTCACTTGCAGAAACACAGATGAAACTTGAATCATTATATTAAGGAAAGAAAAAAAAGTGTGGATTCAGAAAAACAATTATTTCATGTCCTTTCATATACAGCATCTACATGTCAAAAACATACATGAAAAGAGATGGGGGATTATGTAAGGGGAAAGGGTGTCCCCCTTTGTTCCCTTCTTCCCCTTGTTCCCCTTGTGAGGGGAAGAAGAAAGTGAACAGACAAGAGAGAGGGAAATGGGGACGATTGTGGTAAAAGCACATAACACACAAGTGTGAGAATGTGATCACCGAACCCGCCCATTCGTATGTTAACTAAAACACATTAGTTTTAAGGAGATGCTGGCTTGATTTTGTTATGCCCATGTCTCAGGATCTCCAAGAGATCTCAAAGAATTGCCATATCCGATGTAGAGAGAAACAAAGAGCCTTTCATTCAAACCCAGGTTTGGATCACAAGTTGCACGGAGCAAAATTTCGATCCCTTGTCTAGGGGTTTAGAGAATTTATACAAGCAGGTTTCATGGGGGCTTCAGGGTTCCATGGTGGATAAAGAAAGCTATGGTTTCACCTATTTGGGCGGTAGACTGGGTCAGCGGGCAGGGTCTCCAGATTGGGGAGGGTGTTCTTTTGGCTTTTATGGTGTTATCAGGGTTAAATGTTTTTACAAACTGGTCACAGCTGCCTGGGAATGCTTAATTGGTTTGATTTCTCTCTAAAGATGTATGGTTTTTTGCTTTTCCCAAGGCCATTAGCCACCTGTGTTGGGGAGTGTCTGGCCATCCATCAGAGAGGGTGCCAGCTTCAGTGGCATGAAGGCTGAAAGCTGCATCTGTTTAACTGCTCTCAGGCTTTAATTGCCATTCCGGGAAAGTGGGTACATACTCAGGGAGTTACTATTGGAATGATGATTTTCAGGCCCTTGGCACCAGCTATGTCCTTTTGGGAGAGTCAAGCAGCAGGGAGGCTTCTGTGTGCGTGAGGGCAAGGAGGAAGTGCTGAGGGAAAGGCTGAGGCCAGTGCTAACCACTCGGCTCCTTCAATTTCTAAGGTTTCCCTTCTCCTCACCCACTTGGTACTTTGTCCTCTTGTTTCCTTCATCTCAATGATTGGGTCAGCTGGTCCCCCTCCCCTAGCTGCTCTTCCTCACCTGGGACTGCTCTTGGGAAAGAAAGCCACAGCTGGGCACTTCTGAGAACTCACAAGGCCTGGACAGTCTTGTTCCCACTGGACCTCAGAGAAGATCTCATCACTCAGCTGGGAAAAGCTAAATTCTTCCAGCCCTACCCCTCCTCCTCTCGGATCTGCTATGATTTCCAGTTGGCTTTGTGGGGGAATTGTCTTATGATCAGAGGTCTTTAGATGCCTCTCGGTGTTTCCTCTTCCCTCGAGAATGCATGTAGTCTGTCCTACATGTTTCTGTGTTGGGATTCATGCCAACATGCTTACCTGTAGATCAGTTATAAACACTGTAGGTGGGCTTTGGTTTTCTGACATGAAGGTTCCACATGACTTTTATTTATTTTTTTAAAAGATTTATTTGTTTTATGTAATTACACCATCACTATTTTGATACACTCCAGAAAAGGCCATCGGATCCCATTACAGATGGTTGTGAGCCACCATGTGGTTGCTGGGAATTGAACTGAGGACCTCTGGAAGAGTAGTCAGTGCTCTTAACCACTGAGCCATCTCTCCAGCCCCTCCGCATGACTTTTATGTAAGGATTTTGAAATTCTGCCACCTTTTTCCAGAATTCTAGAAATCTTTTTCCTATCTTTGTCTGTTTTGCTTGAACTCAGATGAAACGGTTTTAAGAGCTCCTGTCATCACTGCCTGTTTTTTCTTAAG